AGCATATATAGCTCTTATGACATGGTCAACCAGTGGCTTAAATACCCTATTGATAACACACAGCAACCATCCTAATCTGATAACAAGGTTAACATGTTCTTTTCAAGGGCCAAATTCAAAATCTTCATGGGAAAAAAGTTAAAACCACCAGAAGTTTGAACCTATTTAAAATTTAAGGGTTATTACACTATCGTTTACTAGGCAAAAACATGCCTTTTTTTTCAAAGGGATTTAATGCTTTAAGTAGATTATATGCAAAAGATGCAACAAGTTCTCTGTATGACGTATGGTCAATCTGAGACAGATGTAGTCAGGCTAGTGGCTGATGTGCTCCAGTGCTGTCTTTCACCATTATCAGTTGTGTCCCAGCTCCAAACCATGTTCCACCTGACACCTTGTTCAGAGGTGAAAATCTTTGCTGTGTGCCTCAGGCCACTTAGTACTTGTGTTTTTGTGAAGGGGGTAGTTTCTTCTACTGAATTAAATGTAAAGGAGTGATTGACTTGCCCATACATAGATCATCAATGCTTGCATATTTGAAAGCTGAGTGTTAAATCTCTCCTCTCTTTCTTTCCTCCCCTGTGCTTCCATCTGTACCACATCTTAATTGCCCAGTTAGAAAATGTATTTTCCTCTGTGATTGTATTTCTCTATTAAAGACATCTCAGATTGGAAGAAATAACTTTTGAAATGCATATTTATGGTTCATTTCAAAGGTTTCTTCACCTCAGTGTGTGTAGTAATCCAGAAACTCTTCCACAAGGCACCAGTGTGCTGGGGGCTTTGTGCATTGATGTGATCCAGGAGTGCAGAGCGGGGGGCTTCCTGCCACAGAGGCTTTGCTGCCGGCGAGTGGGAGGTTTCACTAGGCAGCCTGGCATGCAGAGCCTGCTGCGACTGCTGCCTGACATGGTTGCTGGCCTAGCTCTGCGGTCACGGCCTCTGGAAGGCAAATGAAGCTTTAAAGTTCTTTCCAGTGAAATAATAGATGCTTAAAATTGCCAGAGGCTTGTGTTTGAATGTGAGCTCAGGTGCAAAGCAGTCTTCATCTTCAGAGAGGAGGTATTGTCCCTTTCTGCTAGAGACATCACAGAAGCAATTTGTCTTCTTCCTCTACACATGGACTGTCCTGAATTCAATTATTGTGGGAATGGCAGGCGCTGGTGTCAGCATTGGTTGCAGGAAGGGCTGATGGAAACCCTTTTTTGACTAGCTTGTTGCCAACAGTGTGCACCCCAATGGAGTACCCTGTTATGAGAAGCGTGCCACTAGTGATCCTGGGCTAACCAAGATTGGTAGCAGGGCTTGTTTCCAGTCCCTAGCCATCCATTTACATTTTATGTTTGCACAAAGCGAACTGTGATACAATCGCTGTTGAAAGTGTTCATCAGGCCTGTGCTGCTTGATTGGCCTGAAAAGATCAACTGTAGGAGTAAGGAAGCTTCAGCTGGTTCTGTATAAAGTGTTGCTAGCACCATCCTCATCTCAATAATCCTAGTGCAAATGACATCGATATTTGGCTGAGTGGATGAGCAATGTGATCCTGTGACCATAGAAAGAGGGATGATACTCATGGGATTCACCCTTTAAGCATCTGTCAGAGGGTATTTACTTCTCATTATGTTGGACTGTTTCTGAATCAAACAGCTGCCAAGGCTCTTTATGAATATCTGTTTTTAATTTGAAGCTTTATTTAATTAAATCGAGGATGAGCAGATACTTAGATTTCTTCCAAAAAGAATTAATCTTTATTTCTTGAATTCCTTAACTAAAATTTATTTGCCTTACAGAAACCAAATGAGAGTAAGATCTAGTCACATCCATGCAACCTAGAAGCATCTTCCTTTTTTACTCTGGCACTTCAGAAAAAATATTTTAGCAAATACATAAAGTATTGATTATCACAACAAAAGGGTTTGTTTCAGACAACCCTAAATCTTCTCACAAGTTTCAGGTTCTCCAGCTCCACGTATTGCTTAATAAGTTGCAATTTCTGTTTTTTGAAATGCTGTTACCGCTTTCTGTTCCTGCACTGCTGCTGTTGGTTTCTGGTCCATAAAATCGTTCCCATGGGAGTGGGAGCTTTTCCTCCATTCTGACGGGGCGTTATAGAGCGCCGATGCGAGCAGTAAGTCCGTGCTGCTCTTATAACATTATCAACAGCTTTAATGAAAGATGTATTCTTTATTTATTTCTCAAGCAGTGTCATAGGACCATGTTACCAAGAGCAGCAAAGAGATTTTTCTGAAGTTTACATGAAATGGAAGTGCTCATAGTGGCTCACATTGGCACAGCTTAGTCCCTGCCCTGTACAATATGCATTAGCACGTGTTCGCACCAAGGAGTCAGTGAGGGAGGAAGTCAGTCCCACACAGTACAGCTCTGAGTAGCTGAGCAGTAGCTCTGAGTCACTGGAAATGGTCTAACCATGGCATGGGAGCTGGTGGTTGCCCCATGCAAGTACAGGGTGTACACAACCCTGGGCAGTGCTGGGCAGCAGGAGCTGCCACACCACAGGTCAAGCTACTCAAATAGGACTTGGAGCAGCTTCAGTGAAGCCCAAAGTTGATATTTTGTGTCACACATCTTTGTTTATCTTACTGGGGGGAAAGCTGTTGCTCTTTCTTACCTTTCTTTAGCATATTAACATCCTATTGTATAGGCAGGCTTTGTTTGGCCTAAAGCAAAGTTCCTTGTCACAATTTTTTACACAAGAAATTTCTATGGCATCTAAAGGGTGGTGGTTTCTTTCATTTCCCTCCCAGCACTGAAGATCAAATTCAGTCAACTCTGCCTAATCTCTTTCCTGGAGCGAAGCCTGCAAAATAAGTAAAATATCAGATCATAGGGCATCTTCTGAAGGAGTCTGTGCTAACAGAGCCATCTAGACATTTTATTGAATATAGCTATATATCTGCATTCCTGTCAGGCAAGGAAGCAGAGCTATTAAAATAAATTGAATTACAAGGGTAATACCAGAACTGGATGTTGCAGGGTGAGACCTACCCTCCCCCTCTGTCATTAATAGACAGTCTGTCTCTTTCTTTCAATAAAGGAAAAAAAAACACCAAAAAGAATAGGTGCTAAGAAAGCTGGATTTCTTTAAGTGACATAGTTTACTAGCCAGAAGCCTCCACACATTGTCAGGGGCACGACAGAGGAGACAAGCGCATCTCACATTTTACATTAGAGCATTCTTTCTTCCTTCACCCTCATAGTCAGAGGTTCATAATTCTTTCGGAATCTCTTCTGAATATTTCTTTCTTCCTGCTGCTATGAAGACACTTTTTTTTTTCTCTTTGGTTTTGCTGTTCTATGCCCTCTTGTTTACTTTAAAAGACTAATTTTACTAGTCACCCTCATTTCTGTGTTAGCCACCTACTCCCTGAAGGCCTCTCGTGTTGCGTCCCTGCAGTGATGGAAGATGCGAACAGCTTTTCTTAAAGCCATTGACAAACCTGCCGCGCACCAGCCTAAAGGAGCGAGCGGGGAACAACGCGACACATCTTCCACCCAGGGCAGAAAGCATCTCCTGTGGAGTGGCGAGCGGCAGCACTGGGACTGTGGGAAGGGCTTGGGGCCTGTGGTCTCAGGCTGCAGCCACCCTGCCCCTGTGCTTACAGGAATGCTGGGCTCTTTTCATGACTACCATTATCAGTGGTACTATTTTAAGTCTTTTTTTTTTTTTTTTTTTTTTTTTTTTTTTTTTTTTTTCGGGGGTTTTTTTTTTTTTTGTTTTTTTTTTAACTGGAGGATTTTTCTAAGTTGGCAAATAGGTGACTCGTTCTGTATGCCACATACTTCCTTTTAAGTGCAATCAATTATTTTAATTAATATTGCACCAAGCCATTTGCCTGGAAGAGACAGCAGTTTTGGTTTGGGGCTAATTACTATTGTGGGTTCCTGTATGGCAATGCGGCTGCTAATTAATCTTGCCTCAGTTCTCACAGAGAGAGATGCTGATAAGAACTTGCCAATTACCATAAGAAAAAAAACATCAAGAGTCCTGTTGTGTTTTTCTGGCATCCATTCCCAGTCAGATGAATATCACTATTAAATACAGAGCCAGACTAACTACCGAGTAGGAAAGCCACTGGGCTGCAAGGCTACACCAAAAATTACCCAGACGTTATTCATTTAGGAGCTGGACGTATTTTGTGTGTCTGCGTGCTCTTGTTGTACAACATTGCCTGCTGCAGTTTTTTAAGAGGCAGAAAGATCAAGTGGCGCTGTAGAGGGATGTGATAAGTGTCCTGCTGTCATGCTAGGGAGTTTCTCACAGCGCCCTGGCAAGGCTGGAAGACGCGCTTTGATAGGGTGGGCACCTATTGCTGGGGGGTTAAGTGGGTTAGGTTGGTGCTGTGAGGGAGCTGTTTGGCTCCAGAGGCTCCTCTGGGGTGAGGCTGAGTTTGTGCTGAGCTTCACTCACTGCGCTGCGGTGCCAGGTCCCCAGATGGCTGCGGTCCCCTGCTCTGGCCCAGCAGATGACCCCTCAAGGCAGTGACAGATGGGGCAGTGTTAGGCCCCAGCACCGCTGTGCTTCTCATGGGGGATGCGTGCTGCCCATGCTGGCTTTCCTGCTGCTGCAGATGGCTAGCCGAGTGGCTAACGGCTCCTGGAGATGCTTGTGTGAAACCAGCAGGGCATGCTATTTGGTCCTGCAGCCTCTGCTGCACCCTGGTGCGCGTAAGTCCCTCAACATTCACGGTCTCAGCTGGTGCCAGTCACACCTGTCCTGGCCCACACCAGGTCAGAGAAGAACTGGGAACTCCCTGGCAGGAGGACAGCGCAGGCCCCAGTGCTGGGTTTCATTACCTTGAATTTCTAAAGGGGCATTTCTGCCCTGCTGGACAAATACTGGTTGTAGCAATTACCATAATTGGTGTCCGTTGCTCTGTGTAACCTGGCTGAGGCTTGTCTGATAGAAAGCACTGGTTTAAACAACACTGAGTTGCTGGTTTTGTTTAATTTGTTTTCTTCTCTCTTCTCTGTGCTTGCAGGTCAAAAAATCCTTCACCACAGAAGCGATGTCTTAGAAACTGTAGTCCTGATCAATCCCTCAGATGAAGCCGTTAGCACTGAGGTAAGTCAGACAGAAACGTTTCACTGGATTGTCACAAAAACTCACATTACATGAACAAGATGAGAGCAGGTCCTGGCAGTGGATGGAAGGATGTGTTAGGAGGGAGCATAATGAAAACCCTCATTCTTTGATTTTCTTTCTGGTTTCCCTGCCTCATGATAGAACAGCAAAGGCGAAGGACAGACAAGCATGTCTGTTCTCAGCCCTGCTTCCCTTGTAACCCGCTGACCCCTTTTCTAACAGAGTGGAGGCAGCTGCAGTGAGGTTGCTTCTGCTTTTCTTCTGCCCCTCTATTGCTTGGTAGCTCAGGATGTCCATTCTAAATGTGGAAAAGTGCCTACAAAGAAAGCAGGTCACAAATTTAGATATTTTAGAAGAATTGCCATCTATATGATAGTCATTCTAGATAGATCTCTGTGACCTACCTTTTTCTCAAAAAAAAAAAAATGATATGATAAATGGGCTGTGGGGAATGCCCCAGAGAAGGTCTGCAACTCCTCATGAACTAACCAGAAGAGATTCAAAGAACTGAGCTTTCTGTTTGAAGACAGATTAATTTAGCCAGTAAGATTTGGAAGGTTGAAAAACTGGGGATAATTGCATTGCTAGCCAGTGTTGTAAAGCACTAGCAGGATAAGATTTCTGTTGGAAAATGAAGCGGCCCTGCTTCTAGTACTTTGTTAAAAATATAATTTTTATCAACTTTTAGTAATATTAAACACAAACAGGACAAAAAAGTTCACTAAAACAAATGAAAGGTGTAAAGCTTTAATAATTAAGCAAGTCATAGCAGCAGCTCATTCACTGCAACACTGAATTAGAAAATCTCTGACATTGCATTGCATTGGTATTTGGTTTGGAACAAAGTAAGTAGCAGCTCTGAAGTTCTTCATTAATAGCGCATTCATGATAGCTTTCAGAAAAAAAGGTTGCAAATGGGTTGGGGGGAGCAGAAGGGATGTCCAAAAGTACAGAAATGCTGTTTCTGTTGCCGTTGCTTGTCATTCCTTTGGTGGATGACCACATGGAAGTACATGGTCTGAAGCTGATTAATGACTTCTGAACCCTGGCTTTATTCCTTTGGCTCTGGGAGATGTTTGGCTAGGTTACTGTTAATTTCCTCCACTTAGTCTTTGGGAGGCAATCTTTGCTTTGCTTTCATTCTGCCAGACTGATCACAGCCAGAAGTTACAAGCTGAGATTTACCTTGGCTGCTTAATCCAGACTCTCATTGGACAAAAGCCAAAAAAGAGATAGGAAAGAGACAGGAATTAAATTAGGGGTTGGAAGAGAGATGCTTTGCCCATTAAGACAAATAGGAAATTTAGTTTCTCATCTCAAGAGTTTTCCAGGTTGCATCTGGGGAGACTGTGATATACCATGAATATTACTTCATCAGAAGAGGAAATTGAATCTATCAGTTCAGGGAAAACAAAGGCAAAGATGTTAAAAGAAATTCCAGTACTGCTAATGTGGCTGGTAATAGTCATACTGTTGGTTTTCTGAGCATGAATCTACCCAAGGCTCCTGTCCTGTTCAGCCAACTACCAAATATTTCCCAAAAGAGAAAGCCAATGGGAGAGAGATCACAGCTGCCCAAAGAAAGCAAGTTTCTGAAAACCCCATGAACAGTTACTTCCTTTTTTAGAAGATTTCACACCATTGCTCTAAGATGTTATACCATAAATCTTGGAAACTTCTGATCTCCTTACTCTCCTGTCTCTGTTCATGCTCTGTCTTTAACTCAGTTTTGACTGAGGCTGCATCTTGCTGTCACTTACTTTACCCTTGGTTGAAGTCCCAAATTGTTTAAAGTTGAGCAGAATGATCACCTAGCACATTTCTTCTTAAATGTAATCATCTTGAAATCAACAGACAAAATTCTGGTAGTCTCCCAGGAAGCCTTCATTATACCCAGATACACAATTTATGTGTTTCTTGAAATTCTTTCATATGTATCATATATTATGCTCTGTAATCTGCAAGCATTTATTTATTTTTCTTTCCTAACATAGTTTTCTAGCTCTGCAAAGTCTATTTCACCATGAATTAATAAAATAAGTTGAAGGGGAATTATGCGGTAGTCATGTATCGATGATTCACAAGTCAGGAAGTAATTTTGCAGTTGGAAAAGCTGGTGATATTATACATAGGTTGGCGCACTGCCTAGAACTGCTGCCAGCAACCAGAAAAAAATAGAAGGGGAAGCCAATTCTTTATGGTTTTAATACAACTAAAACAGACAAGATTTCAGCAACACACATCAGACAGCCAGCTGCACTTATCTATGTTCTTGTTTGAAATAGAAATATATTGACTTGATTCAGCAAGGATATTGCTGCATTTCTAATAATCTAGAACAATTGGTGATAAACCAGCATTTAGGTCTGCTTTTAATTAAAGGAAATTTCCGATGCTCAAAGTTAAGACCATTTATTTAATAAAATAAAAATGAAGATGTGGTAGAGTTGGGAGCATCTTTAAGATTCATATTCCTCAGTGGCTCTTTTCTGCTTGTACAACAATCTTAGCTGTTGAGCAAGGATTGAGGTCAAGCTTTCCTGGCTCAGCCTTCCTGGTATGAGAGAGATTTATTTAAAACAATTGATTGCTTAACAGTCAATATATACATTTGAAAGAATGGCTTACTAGGAGAGCTGAGGTGATTATGTTGTCTCTATGGAGATGGAGTTTGGATGCAGTATCTACACACTGAACTGTTCTTATTTGGCTTAATACATGAATAGTCTTATTCTGGAATCATCTTCTGGTTTTACATAATCCTCCTTGAATGGAGGAATTACTGTACTTGAAGTTCATACCTTATCTAAAAGTGATTTTCAGTTTGAACAAGACCTTGGAAATATTTTCAAAAGGTTTATTTAATGATACAAAATCTTGCAAAGTTTTTATTTGGATTTAGGATTAATTCAGCCAACAGTAGATTTCTAGATATACAGATTTTATTTAGCATACAAGTAAGTTTCACCTTGGGGGAAGCAAGAATTATTATCTGTAGTGGGGTTCAAGGAAAGTAAAGAAAATACACTTTGAAATAGTTAGAAGTTATTTCAAAATACAGAAGGCCATCATGCATTGACATAATTTATTAAAATATATTGAAAAAAAGATCTTGTGCTTTAACATTTTAAAAAGTTAAAGCGTTCATAGTGATATCATGAGATGTAAATGGTACATATATAACTGTCCGAGTGCTTGAAGTTCAAATCCATGATTGTGGCGAAGATGAATTGTCCTTTAACTCTGTAAATCATTCCAGTTACAATAGAACAACAGTCCAAATGTGTCATTTCTGTTTGATTTGTATCTGTTTTCACTGACATTTTTGCAACCAAATGGCAAGTAATGCTGCACATTGGGAAAAGAACAGCAGCCTTCCAATAACTGAGCTCTGCAGCTGATACGCACAGTTGCCCCTCATTACTATATAGGGCAATTGGCCTAGGTGGCCCTGATACAGTGATGTTAAAATCCACTAAGAGTTACATACACAAGAAATATGTTTGTTCATTGTAATTAATATTTTTTCGTTCTGGTTTTATTCTCTTCTGCTCCTTACTCTTTTCCGTGTCGTTAGTTTGGTTTACTCATTGAGCCTTTTCTCTAGTCACTTTTTGTGTCCCCTTTTTCTCCCTTTTGCTCCTTTCTTACTGTCTTTTGTAAACAGCACTGTAACGAGATAATATTTCATCAGTCCCGGGAGACTCTCACGGAAAATGGGTTTTAAATTAGGCAAGGTAAACTGCATGTTCTCCAAGGAATATAGCCATGCATGGTAACTCGCATTACTGATAAGCTTCTCTTCACTCTAGGTGCGTTTAATGATCACAGATGCTGCAAGACACAAGCTACTTGTGCTCACTGGACAGTGCTTTGAAAACACAGGAGAACTCATTCTCCAGTCAGGATCCTTCTCCTTCCAAAACTTCATTGAGATCTTCACGGATCAAGAGGTGTGTACCAAAAAGTGTCTTCCATACTTTGTCATGTGGTGGCACAGTTTCTGTGAGACTAACACTGGCCATCTCTACTAACTTGGAGTTAGCACTAACAGCTTGATGCTGACGTTTACTCTGCTATCGAATTCCCTTCAAAACATTCTTTTAATTTACTTTAGTTTTGAGGTAATTTGCTTAACGAAAGAATAACATCTTAATTTGGGAAATTAATTTGTAACTTTAAGAAACAGAAAATCAAGGAACCTCTGAACAACAGTGCACATACAAAGCAGCCAAATTGAATCTGACACCAGTTCTTGCCTGATAGCAGCTAAGTGTTATGTGACATTAAATAAGACAGAGGCTGTCTGTTGGAATGGCTGTAGTTTTTTCACCACCTACCTGCTTGACTCTGTAAATCTTGCGATTTTCACATGCTAAGAATATAAGTATCAAACCATGAATTCTACCAGTATTTAATGCCGTTTGCTAATGACTTGTTATTTTGTTTTCTTGCTTAATGTACTATGTCTGAAAGCTCCCATAGGGCAGGAACCCATAGTAAACAAGCTGTCACACTTAATTTGGCTGCTGTGTAAAGTTTATATTTAAACAAACTGTATGGCTACATCCCTGGGATTTTTGTATCCAAATTTAATTACAAGCATTTCAGGAGAGTGAGATTTGAAAATTCAGTGCTGAAAATGCAGAGTTTGCAGGAGTCCCGATGTAACCTTATTGTACCTATTTGATTCTAGTCTCAAAGCCTTTTTTTTTTCAGTGTATAGTACTACAGCTGAGGCAAGAGCTGCATCCCTGGTCTCTGAAAGGGATGTGACCCTTAAAAGTCACCGTCAGTTCAAAGAGTTACAATTCTCTAAAAAAAAGTTGCAGACTGCAGCTACACACACGAAGACTATATTTGCTGTGCTGCAGGCTGTTTATGCGACATTTCTTAAAGAGTCATTAGTGGGGAATTTTTAGGAGACCACAAATAAGAAACAAGAAATGAGTGCTAAAAAAAAAAAAAGTGGTTAGTGGTTTTCTAACTAGTGGTTAGAAGAATAAATTCCTGTGCTCTGATGACCCATTAATGCAGTGGAATGTTACTTAAAGCTAATATTTCTGCACCCTGTTCATTTTTATTTTCCTGGACCAAACCTGAACTATGGTCATGGAATGTGCATAGAGGAAAATAAGTATTGCCCTTCATCGGGGGATTCTCTCATGAAGTCCAACCGAGATTTCCATCTCTGATTTCCTCAACTCCCTGCTAGCAGTGCCTAAAAATTTCCAACTACTCCCATGCCAGAACAGTGAAGATGTCCCATTCATCTGCAGCAACAGCTTAAAGATGAAAACCAGTCTTTTTTCCCTTCGTGGTCCCCAGGATATGAAATAATTTTGTCTTTTCTCTGTGCAGCCGACTTGCTTTTGGCTATCACCAGCCGTATCACCAATTTTTCAATGGCCTGTACTGCTAGTACCTTAATACAGTCTGTATTATGAATGCCAACATCTAGGAGAAAACAGAGTTTAGAATCTAGAGACATGAAGCAGAAAGTCAAGTACAGTATTATATAAATGGAATAGAACTAACCATAAACCTCGGCCCAATATATTCAGTATTGTAATATATTACCATATATTTTTTCATTTTGCTGGAAAATTGGCCTTATGTGAAAAACGATCTGTACTCGTTATCTCCTTATTTATGTAGCAGACTTTGGTTTATTCATTCAAATGAAGAGATCTTGGTCCTGCTTTTGTGTCTCCTTAATAACATGTTTTCAACCCTGACCAGAGATACAGCATAAGGAGTACGCTCAAGACCCTAAATCCATTTCAGAGCTGTTGTCTGGGCTGAGCATTAACAGAAGATGTCTATCCTCACCGAACTGTCTCTCTATCCTTTATCCTGTCATAAACAATAGGAATGGTTCTCCTTTTTTCCTTATCTTTTATCCTATGCTGGATTTACTGCTTTTACTTTGTTTTGTTTTGTTCTGTTTTTCCTCTGCTTTTTTTTTCCCAGACAAAGCCATGTCTGACATTTGGGTGAGATTTATTTATACTCCTGTCAAATGGTTTGGAAACTAAATAAGGTTAAATATTTATTTTCTGCTTTATTTTGGTATTGGATGAATTATTTTTGTTTGGATAACAGCCACTGCATCTTTATTGAGTTTTATTTTTGGTAAATGCTGAAAATAAATTATGTAACACACAAAAAAAGGAAACCTGGATACACTAGACACACAATGTATAGGTCCATGTGAAATCAAACATAATTAATTTTATGTATGTGCATTTGTTTCAAAGATTCAGTTTGTGGTCCAAGACTTTCAAATTATTCAGTTGTAACAATCTAAATCATCTTTATGGAAACTGTTCTTATAGCTTGAGCTGACAACTGAGTCTCTGCAAAGAAGGCTGCAGTATTTTGCAAGATGCTGTGTAGGCATATGTTGTACTGACATTTTATATCAGAACTACTTTTTTTAAAGAGGTTTACATAATTTGCTGGTGTCTTTATTGAAAGCAAACAGAAGTGGGATTCATTTACCTAATTTCCTGATGGCTTTTCGAGAGCCAGGCTGCAGAAAGAATGGAAAGAACAGCGGTGGTGTGGAGCAGAGCCCGTGTCAGGAGGGGCAAGGAAGGCACCTGCCCCAGGGGCCACCTGCCTCCCTGGGCTGCAGGTATTGCCTGAGGGTGCCCTGTGTCCCTTAGGTGTTGGGCCAGCTTTTCTCGATGCTCTGGGGCAGTGTAGAGACCTATGAGCTAAGGGCAAAGGCAGCAGCATTGCTGATAGCGTTAACTCCGTAGTCCTTATAAAAGCTTACTATAAAGGATGGAGGAGGGAGAGGGAAATCTTGGGGTACTTTTGTGCTTTGGGTATTGAGGAAGGGAGCACAAATAAGCTGCTCATTTGTATTTAAAAATTACAGTAGTGGACTAATTATAGCAACAGGTTCCCTTAGTTTCTATGACTGGTACTCACCACTGCAAAGGTGAATGAAAAAGGTTTTATCTGGATGGGAGATAATATATATTTTGACATTAATTGTCAGAAAAAAAATTACTTGCATCTCTCTGTCTTTTTGTTTTAAATCCATAGATCGGTGAGTTATTAAGTACTACACACCCTGCCAACAAAGCCAGCTTAACTCTCTTCTGCCCTGAGGAAGGGGACTGGAAAAATTCCAACCTTGACAGACACAATCTTCAAGACTTCATTAACATTAAGCTCAACTCAGTTTCCATATTGCCTGAAATGGAAGGACTCTCTGAATTCACAGAGTATCTGTCAGAATCAGTAGAAGTGCCATCACCCTTTGACATTTTGGAACCTCCAACCTCAGGAGGCTTTCTGAAACTCTCCAAGCCCTGCTGTTACATTTTTCCGGGTGGAAGAGGGGACTCTGCATTGTTTGCAGTGAATGGATTCAACATGCTTATCAATGGAGGATCTGAAAGAAAATCCTGCTTCTGGAAACTTATCCGGCATTTGGACAGAGTCGATTCCATTCTGCTCACTCACATTGGAGATGATAACCTGCCAGGAATCAATAGCATGCTCCAGAGAAAGATAGCCGAATTAGAAGAGGAACAGTCCCAAGGGTCCACGACCAACAGTGACTGGATGAAAAATCTGATCTCACCTGATTTAGGAGTTGTATTCCTCAATGTACCTGAAAACCTGAAGAACCTTGATCCTAACTTTAGAGTAAAAAGGAATGTAGAAGAAGTTTGTTTTACTCTCCAGTATTTAAATAAGTTGTCTATGAAACCAGAGCCTCTTTTTAGAAATGTAGGAAATACCATTGACCCCATCATTTTATTTCAGAAAATGGGTGTTGGCAAACTTGAGATGTATGTGCTTAATCCTGTCAAAAACAGCAAAGAGATGCAATATTTTATGCAACAGTGGAGTGGTACTAATAAAGATAAAGCTGAATTCCTGCTACCAAATGGCCAAGAGGTAGATATTCCACTATCCTATTTCACCTCTGTCTCATCCCTGATTGTATGGCATCCAGCTAATCCTGCAGAAAAAATTATTCGAGTTTTGTTTCCTGGAAACAGTACCCAATATAACATTCTAGAAGGCCTGGAAAAACTCAAACATTTAGACTTCCTTAAACAACCAATGGTTACACAGAAAGACCTAACTGGGAACATCGCTAGTCCAGCTGTGAAACAAGCAAAGCTGAAACAACGAACAGACAGCAAGGAGAGCCTTAAGCCTGCTGCAAAGACACCACCAAGCAAATCCGTCAGAAAAGAATCTAAAGAAGAAACTCCAGAACCACCAAAACCTACTCCAGCACCAGAAAAGCCTCCAAAAGTAGAAAGCAAAGAAAAAGTTCCAGTTAAAAAAGAGAAACCAGCAAAAGTGGAGACCAAACCTGTAGTGGCAGAAAAAGATGTAACAAGTAAAGAAGAGCAGTTAGTGAAATCTGAAACTGCTGAAAAGCAAGCTACAGATGTAAAACCAAAAGTGGCAAAGGAGAAGCCAGTGAAAAAAGAAGTCAAAGCAAAACCTGAAGAGAAGAAGGAGGAGAAAGAAAAACCAAAGAAAGAAGTTTCTAAAAAAGAGGAGAAAACACCCATCAAAAAAGAGGAAAAACCCAAGAAAGAAGAGATCAAGAAAGAAATTAAAAAAGAGGTGAAAAAGGAAGAGAAGGAAACTAAAAAAGAAGTGAAGAAAGAAGCTCCACCAAAGGAAGTTAAAAAAGAAGTTAAAAAAGAAGAGAAGGAAATTAAGAAGGAAGAAAAAGAAGCCAAAAAGGACATCAAAAAGCTCTTGAAAGAGACAAAGAAGACATCTACTTCAACTGAAGCCAAAAAAACAGCAGCAAAGCCTAAACCGCAAAAGAAGGAGGAACCTGCTAAGAAAGAACCAGTACCTGCTGGAAAGCCAAAAGAAAAGGGGAAGATTAGGGCTGTGAAGAAGGAGATTAAAGTCAATGAAGCGCAAGCTGCCCTTGCTGCAGTTGGAGCTGCTGCCACAACTGTAGCAACAGTAGCAGCTGTAGAAATTGCAGCTAATGGAAAAGAACT